TTTTTTTGTCTTTTTGAGACAAGGTCTTGCTATGCAGTTCAGGCTGGCCTTGAGCTCACTTTTTAGCCCAGGCTGTCCTCGAACTCACAACGATCCTCCTGCCTCAGCCTCCTGAGTTCGGGGATTACAGGTGTGCATCACCATGCCCGCTGAAACAGGGTTGGGCTATGTAGTTCAGGTTGGCCTTGAGCTGTGTAGCTCAGGCTGGCAAACTCATGGCAATCCTTCCGCCATGCCCAGCTCAAAAGTACAATTTTTAAATTACAATTTTGTCAGGCTCAATTCGGGGATGACTCTTCCCAGCACCCAACCCGTTTGTCAGCGGCAGCATTGTTCTCAGAGAAAACCCAGCTCAGCACCAGTGCTGTTGCCTTCGAAAAACACAGAGCAGGATGTCATAAAGAAAAGATAGACAAAAAAAAAAAAAAAAGATAGAACATAAAATCTTTCAAGCTCCAGAACATCTTAAAACATTTATACATTTACCCCAGAAGGGGCTGGAGATTTAGCTCAGCGGCACAGTGTCTGCCTGGCAAGAGTGAGGTCGTGAGTTCGCTTGCCGGTACCGGAAAACAAAACAAAACACTTCACACCACACGCAGAACTTTGACCACTGGGGCACCAAAGAACTTTTTTTTCGTTTTTTTTTGCAGGTACGGGGAATTGAACTCATGACCTCGCGCTTCCCAGGTAGGCGCTGTGCTGCTGAGCTAAATCCCCAGCCCAGCACCAGTGAACTTTGACCATGGATGTTTACACAGACCTCATCACCTGAGGTCGCTTGCCTGATGTTCTACTTGACTCCCTTTGTCCAAGACTTCTAAAAAAGGCTCTGTTTTCCTCTGTACCCCACAGATGGCCTTTTTGCCCTCTGTCTACTTGCACATAGGCACAATACATTTCACTCCATGTTGTCCTTACACAAACAAGCCTGCCGGTCTCTAACTTGAGCCATTCCTTACAGATTTTGTTTCCTTTCTATTTCTTTCTTCTATTGTATCTTATCCCAAGTGTTGAGATTCACAGTCCTGAACCACCATGCCCAGTGCATTATTTATTTATTTATTTATTTTTGGTACTGGGAATCAAACTCACAACCTCACGCTTGCCAGGCAGGTACTTGTGCCACTGAGCTATCTTCCTGGCTTAAATTTTATTTTGAAGAGGGTAGTAAATGAGAAAAAAAAAGAAGAACAATAGCAGCATAACAGCATCCCAAACATAAACAAACCAAAGCAAGAACATTTAAAGTGATACAAGGTTTCAAGACAAAATAATACGTATTAACAGTGGTTGTTATATTACATATTGCTATCCTCAACTACGTTGCTCAGATTACCAGATATAAGAATGGAAGACTAACCATGAAAGAGAATAAGAAAATATTATTAGATAAAACATTAAACGTAATACAGAGTTTCACTAGACAAGATGGTAGGAATTCACCGTGGTAGTTCCATTGCATAGTGTTACCTTCAAATCAGTTGCTAGCCCAGCGTGTTTAGAAGTTTTCTTAACCTCAAGAATTCAAAAACAAAAACAAAAAAATAGAAAGAAAAATATAGCTGGGCATGGTGGCGCATGCCTGTAATCCCAGCACTGGGGAGGCTGAGGCAGAAGGATTATTGTGAGTTCGAGGCCAGCCGGGGCTATAAAGTGAGCTCAAGGCCAGCCTGAACCACATAGTGAGACCCTGTCTCAAAAACTAATAATTTTTTTTTTTGTTGTTCTTTTGTTTGTTTTTGCTTTTTTTACGGTACCAGGAATGGAACTCACGACATCATGCTTGCCAGGCAGGTGCTGTGCCACTGAACTAAATACCCAGCCCCTAAAAGAATCTTTCTTTTTTGGTACTGGAAATCAAACTCAAGACCTTGCACTTGCCAGGCAGGTATTGCGCCGCTGAGCTAAATCCCCAGCCCTAGAAAATCTTCTTGTTTTGTTTTGTTTTGTTTTGTTTTCCGGTACCGGGAATCGAACTCACGACCTCCCGCTTGCCAGGCAGGTGCTGTGCCGCTGAGCTAAATCCCCCCAAAAATAATTTAAAAACATGTTTTTCACTTTTTTTTGGAGACAGGGTCTTGCTGTGTAGTTCAGCAGGCCTTGAGTTTACTGTGTAGCCCCGGCTGACCTTGAATTTGTGGTAATCCTTCTGCCTCAGCCTCCTGAGTGCTGGGATTACAGGTGTGCACCCGTCCCATCCCCACTGTTTTCACTTTTTAAATTTCATTTTAAATTCTTGTTTTAATCAAGCTGGTATATGAACATGTATGCTCGAATGCAGGAAAAAAAGGTAGGCGAGTGTGGTAGGTTAAGTAATGGTCAATTTGTAGTTTCCAGCTGAACTGTTTTTTGTTTTGTTTTGTTTTTCTTTTTTTTTCCGGGACTGGGAATTGAACTCATGACCTTGCGCTTGCCAGGCAGGCGCTGTGCCGCTGAGCTAAATTCCCAGCCCAAATTAGATTTTTTTTTTTTTTCCCTCCAGCTGAACTGAATCAGCATGGTTCTGGATGTGGAGGGCCCACATGAGGATTGTTGCCAACAGCATAAAAAGAGAACTGGAGGGGAAGATGGTGCTATTGAATCTCCTGGAGAAACTTGTCATGTTGGTTTTCCTGGTATGAACTCAGCTGTTATCATCAGAGGGGCTCAGGTCCTCCACTGCTGAAGATGGCTGCAGTTGGAGGGAGCTCTGGTCTTTACCTTGAGGGTTGCTTCTTAGCTCCAGCGCAAATCTCTCAGCCTGGTGACACAGATCTTTCACCCCACTGGTGCAGATTTTCTAGCTTTCACCACCGACCTTTGGGCCTTCCCAGTGCAGGTCCTTCATACAAACTTGCATGAGACATTGTCACGGGCTCTAGGCCTCCAGTTGGACTCATGCAGGACATTGCCGTGGGATCCAGGCCCTCAGCTGGATTCTTCGGGTCTCTAGTGCTTGGACAGATGTCTTGCACTCTTCTGCACTTGACTTTTTGGGTGAATATTATAAAATCCTATTAAATATGTGTCCTGTAATAATTCTATTCCTGGGCTGGGGATTTAGCCCAGTGGCACAGCGCCTGCTTGGCAAGCGTGAGGTTGTGAGTTCAATTCCCAGTACCGGGAAAAAAAAAAAAGATAAAAAAAATTCTATTCCCTTGCAAACCCTGACTATAACAGTGAGCCGAATCTTTTTTCCCCATGCAGCTAACTAGTACCACTTTTATTGTCCCGGGACAGCAACCGAGGAGGCTCCCCAAAGTGGAGACCAGGAACCCACCCCTGGGCAGGTTATAGGTTTGCTGACATCTGCCACAGAAAAAGGCTTTTCAAGATGTGTCCGTAAAAGAGGGCTTGGGACATAGCTCAGTGGCACAAGCACCTGCCTGGCAAGCACAAGGTCCCGAATTTGACTTCCGGCACCAAAAAGGAAAAAAAAAAAGATGTGTCAGTAAAACAGCAAGAGGCACCAAGAGGTTTATGAGCCAGAATTTTAAAGTACACAAAGATAATAGTGGGGGGGGGCATTGTGATCTGGAGTGGGTATATTTTTGTGGTTTTTTTTTGCGGTTTTGAGGGTGGAAATCTATGGAAAAGGGGGTTCAGTTTAAAGGTGAAAGGCTCTGGCTTTTTCTGCAGGCAAGAGGCCCAAGTTACAGGGGCTGGGGATGGCCTATTTAAAAGTGAAATGGTGCTTTTTACAAGTGAAAGGGATGGGTCCAGGCTTATTGTGTCTTTAAGACCCTTGGGAATTTATTTAATTATTTAAAAAAATTTCCTGGAAGGCGAAAAAAGCTTGAATAACTTTTGTGTCCTGAAGGTACAGTTTTTCTGAAAAGCACAATTTTAAAATTATGATTTTATTTTGCTTTTTAAAAATTTTAATTTTTAAAAATTAGTACATGATTGTCATATACAATGACCATATTTATCATCGGGAATTTGTACGTGTACATAATATATTTTGTCTTTTTTTTTTTTTTTACCCTATTCCTCTCCCTTTCCTTCAGTTTTTTTTTTTTTTTGGTATCAGGAATCGAACTCAGGACCTTGCACTTGCCAGGCAGGCGCTTGTGCCACTGAGCTACATCCCCGGCATTTTTTTTTTTTTTTTTTTTGGTCTTTTTGAGACATGGTCTCACTATGCAGTTCAGGCTGGCCTTGAGCTCACTTTGTAGCCCAAGTTGGTTTCGAACTCTGCAATGATCTTCCTGCCTCAGCCTCCTGAGTGCTAGGATGACAGGCGTGTGCCACCACGCCCGGCTCCCTCCCTTCAATTCTTGTTTCTCCTTCCCCATTTATGAAAACTTTGTTTCCATTTTTTCCTTCCATTTTCTTTTTTCCTTTTCCCTTCCTTCCCTTCCCCCTCCCTGGTTCCCTTTCCCGCTTGAGCTTGTTTTTTTCTACTTCCCAGTATCTATCATCCATTTGGGTCCTTATTTACCCTTTGGGTTTATCGCACCACAAAATGCGCTGTATTTCACTTAAGATTGTGGTTTGAGGTGCTATCTTTATTTCTTTTATCCTCCCTCATTTACCTTGACGTCTCAAATGATAGAGCTGCAAAATGAGTTTAGGAGAAACGGTAACAGCTCTTGGGTGAGGGCGAATCTTGTGCCCCGAGGGGAAGAGCCTGACTTCCTCCCTAGGCGCCTTCCTGCCCTTAGGACCCTAGAAACCCCCGGAACGCAGGTGCGCGACGGCGCGGACTCGGAGGAACCCGGCTGCTGCGGACTGCACACAGCGGGGGAACGGTTTGGCGGCGACACCGCGCCGCTACGAGTCCGCTGCGATGCTGCCTTCCTTGCAGGGATCGCTGGATGCGGACGAAAAGGAGCTAGAGAGCAGCGAGGAGGGGGGCTCCGCGGAAGAGCGGAGACTCGAGCCGCCGCCCAGCAGCCACTACTGTCTCTACAGCTACCGCGGAAGCAGGTGCCGGCGCCCGGCTCAGGCTGCCCGGCCCAGGCTGCCCGGCCCCCCGGCCCGGGCCCGCAGCCAGGCCCTGCGCCCCACCCCGGCCTGGCGGCCCTGCCGCTCCCGGCGCCCGCTCCTCCTCCCCCAGCCAAGGTCGCGAGCCCCGAGGGCCCGCCTGGCCGGCCTCCGGCCTTCCCGGTCTTGGCTCGCCCGAGCCTCTGCCGTCTCTCTGCCCTTGTGTCATCTCAGCCCCGCTCTCCTCCTAGGCATTTGCTTAGGGCAGCGCTCGCGCACGCTCGAAAATTTCTGCCCTCTGCCGTCCTGTTATCTCCTAGTTTCTTTTCCTTTCTGCCACGCCCACTGACCCGCTCCCGTTTTCCCCTGCCCTTGCTGCCCCCTTTTCCTTTGCCCGAGTTTCCGGGGCCTTGCTTGGGCCTATAAAGTCAGTTTTGAGTCTGGGTATTAGGCTTTTGCTGCACGTCCTTAGGTAGCCTGGGCAGAGAAGGGGCTCTTGTCAGTGCTTTTTTTTTTTTTTTTTTTGCTTTTGTTGGAGTGGTTTGGGTTTTTTTTTTTTTTTTTTTTTTCCCCCTTTTTGGTCTTTTTGAGAGAGTCTCGCTGTGCAGTTCAGGCTGGCCTTGAGCTCACTTTGTAGCCCAGGCTGGTCTCGAACTCGTAACGATCCTCCTGCCTCAGCCTGCCACCACTCCCCGCTGTCAATGCTTTTTATAGGTTTTCTCTTTCGTCTGGATAGGCTATAGAGGACCCACGTTCTTTGACCTTACGCAGCTTGCAGGGGCCCCATACTCTGCATGATTTAGAGCACGTGATTGATAGCACAGTTGCTTTTGTGGCTTGCAGATTGGCATCGCAGCGAGGGGACAGCGATGATGGAAGCCCGAGTGGCCCAAATGTGGAAACTCCCTCTGGTGATGACTTCAGGTAAAAACAGTTTAGCGGTAACCCATGCATGTGCTTTTTATTTTCTGTGCATCTCCAGCCGGTAGACGTCAGTGGGTGCCCTGTTCCCACTAGGCTTTCCTGGAGTCAGAGTGTTCATCAGTTCTTTCTGTCCCCTAGGCAGCTCTCCTCACTGGCTCAGTCAGTCAGGAGTGGGCAGATCAAATTACTGATGCAGCCTCTGGGTTTTTTTTCGTTTTTTTTTTTTGTCTTTTTGAGACAAGGTCTGCCTATGTAGTTCAGACTGGCCTTGAGCTCACTTTGTAGCCCAGGCTGGTGTCGAACTCACAACGATCCTCCTGCCTCAGCCTCCTGAGTGCTGAGATTACAGGCATGTGCCACCACGCCTGGCTGATGCAGCCTCTGAATAGCTAGAGAGAATTATTCTGAGTTTCGTGGTTGGAATCCCAGTAATATATTCATTGTTTCAAGATTTAATTTAAATCCTCTTTTTTTACCACCTTTGAATACTTTTTTTTTAAAATACAGTGTCTTGGTTTGTAGTTCAAGCTGGCTTTGAACTGTCTGTGTAACCCAGGCTCACCCCAAACTCCTTCCTCCTCATTCTGGGTTTACTGGCCTGCACTACCATGCCCAGTGGAATATTCCTTAGTAGCTCCTCTAACATATACTAGATTCTAGTGGCTAGAATGTAAACTCTAGGACAGCAGGGGATTGTCTCTTTGATTCATTGAGGTCTCCCTATTTTGTTTCTTAGTGGTACCTGGAGCGGGATAGACATTTAATACATATTTATTAAGTGTATGAATTAATATATGTATCTTGATACTGGATGCAAAATAAGGTAATACAAAAATACCAGGTTCACTGGATGATATTTATTTATTTATTTAATTTATTTATTGTCTTTGTGAGACAGGGTGTCACTATGCAGTTCAGGCTGGCCTTGAGCTCACTTTATAGCCCAGGCTGGCCTTGAACTCACAAGGATCCTCCTGCCTCAGCCTCATGAGGGCTGGGGTTACAGATGTGCGTCACTACACCTGGCTTTTTTGTTTGTTTGGGGCAAGGTCTCTCTATGTAGTTCAGGCTGGTCCAGAATTCACTGTGTAGCCCAGGCTCGCCTTAAACTCACAGAAGTCCTCCTGTTTCTGGAGTCCTAGGATTACAGGCGTGTGCCACCATGCCAGCCTAATGATAGTTCTTTTTTTTTTTTTTTAAGATTGTTCTTTTTTTTTTTTTTGAGAGAGGGTCTCAGTATATGTATAGGTCAAGCTGGCCTTGAATTCACTATGTAGCCCAGTATGTAGCCCAGGCTGGTCTCAAATTCACAGTAATCCTGCTTCAGCCTCCCAAGTGCTAGAATTACAGGTGTGTACTACACCTGGTGCTATCTGTTTTTTGTGACACGTTCTCACTGTTAGTCCTGGCTGGTCTTGAATTCTCTATGTAGCTGTGATAATCCTACCTCAGCCTCCTCAATGCTGGGATCAAAGGCATTAGCACCATACCCAGCTAGATAATGGGTGATTTAAAGAAGTTTCAAATGTCACAAAAGTTTTTTTTTTTAGTACTAGGGATGCAGCCCAGGGCCTTTGCACTGAGCTATACCCAGTCCTTTTTTATTTTTTATTTTAGGACAGGGTCTCACTAAGTCACTGAGTTGCCCAGGCTGGGCTCCAACATGTGGTCCTCCTGCTTCAACCTTCCAGAGTGCTGGAATTATAGCTGTGCACCATCAAGACTGTCTTGTTTGGCCCCTTTACCTCTGGGCCTTTGGTGACACAGTATATCATATGGCAGCACTTGGCAAAGGAGGCTCTTCACCTCCTGACAGCTAGAAAGCAAAAGAGAGAGAGAGGGCGGGGTCCTAGTCTCCCCGTTGCGGGCATATCCCCAGAGGCCTAACTTGCCCCAAGGCCCTGCCTTCTGAAGGTTCCACCACCTCCCGGGAGCACTGAGGCTGGGGATCAAGCCTTCGACACATGAGTCTTTTGGGGGACATTCCAGATCCTGGTGATCACAGCAGGGACCTGGCAGACACTTTAGTTATCAAGTCCTTAAGAGGAACCTCAAAAGCCAGGCGTGGTAGTGCACAGCCTGTAATCCCAGCACTGGAGACTGAGGCAGGAGGATCACTGGGAGTTCAAGGCCAACCTGAACTACATATGTAGCGAGACAAAACAAAAAAAGAGAGAAAGAGACAGACTTTGGCTTTGGGACCATTCTGTTGACTTACGGGTGAATACAGCAGCCCACTGGTAAGGAATGTGTGTCTCCTTTGTCAAGCCTTTCCCTGGTGGATACTAATCTCCCATCTGAAGTGGAGCCAGAGCTGCGCAGTTTCATTGCTAAGCGTCTGTCAAAGGGAGCAGTCTTTGAAGGGCTGGGTAACGTTGCGTCCATGGAGCTGAAGTAAGTGTAAAATGTGCTGTGTCTTGAGTTTTTATTTCTGTGCCAAATAGGAGCAGCAGTGCTAAACTCCAAAAGATTATCTTTTTCTGGCCCTGCAGAGTTCATTTTTGTTTTCTGACAGCCTGAGCTGTAGACCTCACACATAAACATTTGTGCAATGGGATTGATTGAATGGTAGAGATGCTGGAATCTAAATGTACTTTTAGTTTTGTACTTAGAAGAAAATTAATGACCAAAACTAATACTGCATACTCTTTTTTTGAGAGTCTTGCTATGTAGTTCAGGTTGGCCTTGAACTCACTGTGTAGCTCAGGCTGACCTCAAACTTATGATGATCCTCCTGCCTCAGCCTCCTCCTCCTGAGTGCTGGGATTACAGGCATGTGCCACCATGCCCGGCTATATTGTATACTTTATAGTTTAATAAATTTTGATGGAGTTCTCCTTATAAAGGGGAGACAGAGCAGTACTCTTCCATTTTCAAATGATTAAATGAACTCCAAGAGTTAAGTGGGATGCCCAAGGGCACAGGCCTAGTTATCTTGCTTGGAGGTCAGGCTTAAACAGAGGCATCCTCAGGCCAATTCTGGATGTCTCCGCATTACCCTCCCTGACTGTAGTTCACTTCAGGCCATGAAGTTGGCACGTAGGTCCCTCAGCAGCCAGGGACCCACGGCACGGACACAGGGTGGACCTGTGCAGCACGAGTGACTGAAGGTTGAGGGTAGGGGGAGCACATGCTTGTACTCGTGTACGCATGAGTGTGCAGTGAGCAGGAGTGAAAGCACATGAAATGTTTACATAAAGCAGAATTCCAAAAAGAATATTCACCTCTGCTGGTGGCTGCTTTAACTGAAACTCACCAGGTTTGCATGCACGTTCCTCTGCCGTTACGGGAAAATGGACGAGCCGCCGAGCAAACTCTGCTCCGGCCGGTCTGCCCTCGCAGGGAGCCCCGCTCTCTAGGAACTCACCTCCCCGTGCTCAGGGAGGGCCCACTTAGGGCCGCCCTTGGCCCTAGTCTCAGACCTTCCCAGGGGACGCACTAGAGTGACATGGCGCACTCAGCTCGTAGCCCCACTGATGAGCAAACTCTGAAGGAGAGGGCAGCGGAAAGGTTCACCAGGGCTCAGAGCAGTCCACAAAATGAGATCCAAGAGTTACTGAAGCACTGTATTTTACCCTTTTCTTTTTTTCTTTTTATTTTTTTCGTACTGGGAATTGAGGTCAGGACCTTGTGCTTGCCAGAAAGGCGCTTATGCTGCTGAGCTACATCCCCGGCCTCATTTTACACTTTTCTTTCTCTTTTAGAATTCCAGGTTACCGAGTTGGTTGTTACTACTGCCTCTTCCAACAAGTAAAACTGCTTCCTGAGACACCTATAGCAGGCTCTGAACAGAACCCTTCAGAGTATGTGGTCTGCTTTTTGGGAGGGTCTGAGAAAGGACTCGAGCTATATCCTTTCCTAGGTTCGGGGGGTTGCAGGAAAGAGGAAGGGGAGGCAAGTAGAGGGATGTCTCTGAGGCCCTCGCTGGGCTTCTCTGCCCTTACTCACGTGCTTCATACGGCCATCTGCTCTGGCTTGTTTTATTTGTTTTACCTGATAGATCTTATATTTCCTCTTGAGAGATAAGACATTATCTTGATTATTCATCCTTTATTCCTTAAGAACAAACTTTCAGGCTTGAATTGGACAAGTATATTCAAGGGCTGAAAAATAGCATGAATTGTGAGGTAAGACGACTGATTTAATCTTTTTTTTCTTTTTCTTTTCCCCATTTTTTTGAGACAGGAAAGCCGGGCATGGTGGCGCACACCTGTAATCCTAGCACTCAGAGGCTGAGGCAGGAGGATCATTGTGAATTCGAGACCAGCCTGGGCTACAAAGTGAGCTCAAGGCCAGCCTGAACTGCATATTGAGACTGTCTCAAAAAGACAAAAAAAAAAAAAAGAGAGACAGGGTTTCACTGTGCAGTTCAGACTGGCCTTAACTCACTTTGTAGTCCAGGATGGCCTCGAACTTGCAGTGATCCTCCTGCCTCAGCCTCCCAAGTGCTAGGATTACCGGCATGCACCACCATGCCCGGCAACTGATTTAATTTTATAAGACTGAAATGGCTGATGTACCATAGCTATACTCGTCAAGCCATACGTGTATATACAAAGATAACTAAATTCTGAAAACTCTACCTTGTAAACTAGTAGACCAGTGATATTTAAGGAAAGCAGGCTGAAAGTAAGTGCTGAAAGTCAATAAGACTGCTTTTGCCCCTATGAAAAATTCTATTACAGTAAATTCAGCACCATGTCAGAACATGTCTGTGGAGAAAGAAGATGCCCTTTTTCTGATGTCTAGTCACATAGGACTCATACTGCACTTAACATCAAAGATCTTTAGGAACATTCCATTTTCATTAATCCTTTATGAATTAGATAAATCCAAATTGACTGACTTAACTGAATGTTTTACAAACTATGCTTTCAGCTTACAGCAGTTAAAGTTCTGTCTCCTAAGTTCATTACGCATTACAGGTAATAACAGTTCCTCTCACTTGCCCTGCACTTACAAGATACTGGGGAAGAAGAAAGGATAGTGTAGTAGTGAGCCAGGGATTCGAATCTGGGGTGCTGCCCCCCTGGACTGGTGTTCTCCGTGTCACACCAGTCCCCAGAGAAAAAACCAGATGTACATGTGTCATGTGTGACAACTGGAGGGGGTGTGAGTGCTTTGATGAGTTACTTACAAGTAAGTCCTTCCCTGTTTACATTTTGAGTACCAATATGAATTCTCTGTTATCCCTTCCGTTAGTCAACGGTCACTTGATAAACTTGTGCTATGCATGTGTGTCAGACTCCATGCTGGGTGCTGGGCAAGTGAGGATTGTTAAGAAGATACGGTAACCACAATGAGTGTGCAGTGAGACGGACAGACATAAAATTGCCCACCTCCCTCCTGGTGAATAATAAAGTCCTATTAATTCAGTTTCCCAGGGGAGCTATAATTCCTTTTTTTTTTTTTTTTTTTTTTTTTGAGTTGATGGTGTTACCTTGAAAAAAGGAGTATAGGGCTAGGGTGGGGGTGTGGCTCCGTAGCAGGCACTTGGCTAGCCCTGGGATCCGTCCTCAGCATGGGACTCTGTCTTCACAGTGTGGTGAAGAACATGTGAAGGCTACAATAGGCAAAGCTTATATGGTACTAAAGCAAATGACATTCTCTCTCAACCTAGGAGAAGGGCCTGGAAACTCACGTGAGGTCCTATCTGAGCAACTGGTTTGAGGATGTTGTCTGCCCAATCCAAAGGGTTGTTCTTCTCTTTCAGGAGAAACTTACCTTTCTGCTCCATGCTGTAAGTATTGCCCCAGTAAGAGCATTTCCTTCGTGGCCAGTCCCACTGGCAGAATTTGGATTACTTAGAGACATGCTTGTTTTCCCTGAACATTGCTTCCTTTTCGCCGACTATTTATTCACTCTATGCTCACTGTCAAAATAGCCCACCCTTCATTTACTCAGACCTAGAAAGTTATGTCATTAGGGTAGGATTGAAATTGCAAATACTGGCTTAGTCTTCCTAGTAGGAGAAAATATTTTTAAATAATTACTTTTTAGCTGGGCGTGGCGGCACACGCCTGTAATCCCAGCACTCAGGAGGCTGGGGCAGGCGGATCGCTGTGAGTTTGAGGCCAGCCTGGGCTACACAGTGAGACCTTGTCTCAAAAAACAAAAACAAAAAATGCCAAAAATATTTTTACTTTTTGAAGTGATTTTGTTTATTTATTTTTTGGGTACCGGGAATTGAACTCAGGACCTTGTGCTTGCCAGACAGGCACTGTGCCACTGAGCTATATCGCCAGCCCTTGAAGTGATGTTTTAGAGAGCTGCAATTTCCAAAAACAGCTTGAAAAGGAAAACAAAATTCCAAAGTCACTGTAACTATGCAATAATGTTAGTGAGCAGCTGTTGAACAAGGCTCTGGAGAGTTTGTGGGTGGTACCCCTCAGTCATGTCTGGTTATTGGGGAAGTGACGTTTCGTTAGGAGTCACTGCCCAGTAAGGAGAAAAGATGTGTCAATCAGGCTTTATTTTTCCCAAATAGGCTCTGAGCTATACTCCTGTTGAGGTAAAAGAATCGGATGAAAAAACAAGGAGAGACATTAACAGGTAAAGAATATTGTTTTGGCAAAGAGAGAACCTTTTCCACTGCAAACCTGATGATCACATTTTTAAACCTTCCCTTCTCCGGTGCAGAATGACTAGTTTTCTCCCGTCTGCCCTTCAGTATTGTTGTGGAAAATGATCTGTATGTGTGGCAGGTTTCTGAGTGTGGCCAGTCTTCAAGAACTCATTCACGAAGGCACCATGACGTCACTGTGCGTGGCCATGTCGGAGGAGCCGCGTAAGTCTGTGGTCATTGACTGCAGTAGCTCCCAGCCTCAGGTCTACAATGCAGGTGAGCTGAAGAACCTTCTTGGACCTTTTAGAAGTTTCCTTCTGTGCACTGAGAACAAGTGATTCAAATATATCCTGTTGCCTCCTGTAGTTTTTCTCCCCCCCTTACCCCCCGGTAGCAGGACTCGAACTCACGACCTTTTGCTTGCCAGGCAGGTGCTGTGCTGCTGAGCTAAATTCCCACCCCCTGCCTCCTGTAGTTTTTCATGGTTATCTTTTTTTTTTTTGGTACCGGAAATCGAACTCAGGACCTCACACTTGCCAGGCAGGAGCCGAGTCACTGAGCTAAATGGCCCCTTTCATGCTTATCTTAAACTTCCTGAAAATAGTAATTCTAGAAACATGGAAATCAAATCATGCCCAGCAGTTCCACTCCCAGATATAAAGAAACGTATATGTGAACATGTCTTGGTTACTTTTCTCTCGTTGCTGAGACAAAATACCCAGTGCCCAAAATGAAGGAAGGAAAGGTTATTTAGCTTACAGTTTGTGGAGGTTTCAGTCCATACTTGGCTGGCTCTGAGGCAGAAGGTAGCAAAGCAACAAGAGCAAAGGGGGAATGGCAGCCGAACAGCAAACAGCCAGAGCAAAAGGGCAGAATGGCGCCCAACAGCTTCTTTTCCCTGCCCTACATTGTAAACAGGCTACCCCCACCTAAGGGGCGTGTAGCTCTCATATAATCTCCATGCCCTCCTCTTCCACAGGCGCAGGATGTATACAAAGTAAGCACCCTGGCTTCCTGCTGAGCCATTTAGCCAAACCTCTAGACTCCCCAAGTTGACACAATGTATCAACCATAACAGAACATAAGGAGACAAATACAAAAAATGCTCAGAAAGGCATTGTTTGAAATAGCAAAAGAATTGGAAGCAATTTAAATGTTTACCAGTGGGGGCTGAGGATTTAGCTTAGTGGCACAGCGCCTGTCTAGCAAGCACAAGGTCGTGAGTTCGATTCCTGGTACTAGAAAAAAAAAAAAACAAAAAAAAACAAATGGGATTAAATGTTTACCAATGACCCTGTGCCCCTGGCGCATGCCTATAATCCCAGCACTCAGGAGGATCACTGTGAGTTCAAGGCCAGTGTGGGCTACATAGCAAACTCAAGGGCAGCTGGAACTACAGAGCAAGACCCTGTCTCTTTTTTTATTTTTATCTTTTTTGAGATAGGGTCTCAGTATGCAGTTCAGGCTGACCTTGAGCTCACTTTGTAGCCCAGGCTGGTCTTGAACTCGCAACGATCCTCCTGCTTGAGCCTCCCAAGTGTTGGGATTACAGGTGTGTACCAGCAAGGACCCTGTCTCAAAAAAAAAAAAGTTTATCAGCAGAAATTTGATAAGCTGCTAATTTATGCAATGGAATATTATAGAGCAATTAAAATAAATTAATTAGGGGCTGGGGATATAGCTCAGTGGCATAAGTACCTGCCTGGCAAGTGCAGGGTACTGAGTTCAATCCCTGGTGCCGCAAAAAAAAAAGAAAAAAATAAATTAATTAGAGATACATGTGTTAGTTTAGCTCTTAAATATACCAGTTAGTGAAATAACCATTAAAGAAAAATACATAAATTGTAACATGTGCAAAGTAATACATATAAGGCTGAGAGATAGGATAAAAAAAGTTTAAAGAGGGGCTGGGGATTTAGCTCAGCAGCACAGTGGCTGCCTGGCAAGTGCAAGGTTGTGAGTTAGATTCCTGGTACTGGGGAAGAAAAAAGTTTAAAGAAATATATGGGAAATGGCTGGTGTGGTAGCACACACCTGTAATCCCAGCATTTAGGAGGCTGAGGTAGGAGGATCCCTGCCAGTTTAGGCTACTCTAAATTACAAAAAAGAAATATATAGGAAATGATAATTTTTTTGATGGAAAAGTGGGGAGCTGTGTTAGGGAGGGGCACACAGGGGTTTTTGACCATTCTGGCATACCTTAGCCATGTGGTGAGCACAACTTTTTTTTTTTCCTACCAGGAATTGAACTCAACAGCCTCCACTTGCTAGGCAGGCACTGTGCCACTGAGCTATATCCCTGGCCCTTTTGGTTTTTTGAGACAGAGTTTCACTACGTAGCCCAGTCTGGTCTTGAATTTGTGACAGTCCTCCTGCCTCAGCTTCCCACTTGCTGGGATTACAAGCATGCACCACCATGCCCAGCTTTTCAGAGCACTATAGAAGTCTTAAGTAATTTATTGTAAATATTTTTTAAAAAGAAATATATGTCCTGTACTTGGTAGTGTTGCATTTTTATTTATTTAGTTTCTCTAAAATATTTTATAGGAAGCAATCGATTTTGTGAGGATTGGATGCAGGCTTTTTTAAACAGTGCCGAAGGGGGTAACCCATTTCTTTTCCGACAAATACTGGAAAACTTTAAACTGAAGGTAAGGAATTGGCTGTGTGCCAAGAGTCACATGCGGTTTTTTGTCTGAGTTTTAATCAGTAACAGTGACAGAATAACAAATCTGCTTTGCAGCTATAGTGTCTCTTTAATAGGACAGTCTCAAAACTGGAATCATCAGAAGGCATTTAATTTTTTAGTAGCTTCTGCATACATATAATTTCATTTCCAGTACATTGGGTTGAATACTTGCTTATATTTAAGGGACATCAATCCCCCCCCCCCC